GCATTGTGGATGACCTTGCAAAATTCTATTGATTCTGGGATGATTCCTGTGGATTGGAAGGTAGAAAAAGTCACCCCACTATTTAAGAAAGGAGCAAGAGAGAAAACAAGGAACTATAGACCTGTTAGCTTTATATCAGTAGTAGGGAAAATGATGGAATCTATTACAAAGGATGGGATAAAATAGACACTTGGAGGAGAATAATCTGATGAGGCATAGTCAGCATGGGATTTACAAATGGGAAACTGTGTTTATTGAACTTGTTGGAGTGATTTGAGGATGTTACCAGCAGAATTGATAAAAGGAGAGTCAGAGAATGTAGACTGCATGGATTTTCAGAAGGCTTTTGATGAACTCACCACAGGAAGTTGTTCAGAAAGATTAAAGCACATGGGATAGGAAGTAATGTACTGGCATTGATTAATGATTGACAACAAACATAAAACAGAAAATAACAGGAAATGGGTCAGGCCAATGTTGACAGGCAATGATTCGTGGGGTTCTGCAAGGATCAGGATTTTGGCCCCAGCTCTTCACAGTGTATATCAATGATTTGGGGTTGGGAACTAAATTTTAAATTTACAAACTCACAGATGACACAAAACTTTGAGGAAAATGCAAAGCAGCTTGAAGAGGATTTGAATATACACAGTAAATGGGTAAGAACACTGCAGATAGAATATTATATGGAATAATGTGAGGTTATGTACTTTGGTAAGAGAAACAGATGTGCAGAGTACTTTTAAGTAGTGAGAGATTAGAAAGTGCAGTTGCTCAAAAGGATCTGTGTATCCTTGTCAATATGTCACTGAAAGCTAATGTGCAGGTGCAGCAAGTTATTGGGAAGGCTAATGGAATGTTAACCTTTATCACAAGGGGATTTGAGTTCAGGAGTAGCAAAGTCTTTCTTCAGTTGTATAACAGCTTGGTTAGATTGCAGCTGGAATACTGTTTGCAGTTTTTCTTTATCTCAGGAAAAATATTGCCACAGACGGGAGTGTAACAAAGGTTCATCAGACTTGTCCCCGGGACGGTGGGGAGATTGGGCAAACTAGGCCTGTATTCTGTAAAAATTTGAAGAATGAGAGATGATCTCACTGAAAGCGACAAAATACGTAAAAGCAATAGACAGGGTAAATGTTCCCCTAATTGGGGAGTCTAGAACCAGGGGGACAATTAAAAAATAAGGGAGATGCCACTTATGACAAAGTTGGGGAGAAATAAAATTTTAACTCAGAAGGTTGTCAATCTTTGGAATTCTCTACCACACAGGGCTGTGGAAGCTCAGTCTTTGGAAGCTCAGTCTTTGAGTAGCTTAAGGTAGAGATTGATAGATTTCTAAGTATCAATGAAGTAAAAGGATATGGAGATAGTACGGCAAGAGTGGCATGGCAGAAAAGACTCAAAATGCTGAATGGCCTGCTCCTGCTCCTATGTCATAGGATTTGAAGACTTCCCCTCTGAATATACCATTGATGGAGCTATAATAATTTACACTAATAGAGGAGAAAGAGTACATTAAATGGGATATTTGCAACTAAGGAAAATGATTACTTGTGCGACAGGAAAGATATGGGAGTGTGCAGTTTGCCAATTCCATAGCTCATCGCCACCATCTAGTGGGAGATATCAAAAAGTACAGGAGAGTACCTCAGAGAGTAGACGTATCTCACCTCAAATACTTTGCTCAGTACTCGAGGACTCAGCATTAGCCAAACTGCAGCATAACTTAAAAATGGGGACTGAGACAGTCCTCAGACAGTTTTAGGAGGGTACTTAAAAAGTCTAATGCAATTTAGTAAATGGCACTCAGCTACGTATGTATAGTTCAAATCAGAAAGGAAATTTCTTCTTCAGCAGAGAGAGTAAGAACTGCAGATGCTGGA